TCCCTGGGCAATTTATTCCAGTGTTTGACTACCCTGACAGTTAAGAAACTTTTCCTAATGTCCAACCTAAAGCTCCCTTGCTGCAGTTTAAGCCCATTGCTTCTTGTTCTATGCCCAGAGGCCAAGATGAACAAGTTTTCTCCCACCTCCTTATGACACCCTTTTAGATACCTGAAAACTGCTATCATGTCCCCCCTCAATCTTCTCTTTTCTAAACTAAACAAACCCAATTCCTTCAGTCTTCCCTCATAGGTCATGTTCTCTAGACCTTTAATCATTCTTGTTGCTCTTCCCTGGACCCTCTCCAATTTCTCCACATCTTTCTTGAAATGCGGTGCCCAGAACTGGACACAGTACTCCAACTGAGGCCTAACCAGCACAGAGTAGAGCGGAAGAATGACTTCTCGTGTCTTGCTCACAACACACCTTTTAATGCATCCCAGAATCATGTTTGCTTTCTTTGCAACAGCATCACACTGCTGACTCATATTCAACTCGTGGTCCACTATAACCCCTAGATCCCTTTCTGTCGAACTCCTTCCCAGACAGTCACTTCCCATTTTAATGCATCCCAGAATCATGTTTGCTTTCTTTGCAACAGCATCACACTGCTGACTCATATTCAACTCGTGGTCCACTATAACCCCTAGATCCCTTTCTGTCGAACTCCTTCCCAGACAGTCACTTCCCATTCTGTATGTATGAAACTGATTGTTCCTTCCTAAGTGGAACACTTTGCATTTGTCTTTATTAAACTTCATCCTATTTACTTCAGACCATTTCTCCAATTTGTCCAGGTCATTTTGAATTATTACCCTAATAAATGTTGTTATCCATATTGTATAATTAAAAGGTTAAAGACCTGAACTTAATATGACCTGGCTTAGGGTCTACCATAACTTGAACACTAAGCAGAGGATAGTGAGTCACATCTAACTGAAAGTCACAAAAGATGGAAACAGGTTTTATTTCTGGTGGTGTAGAGTCTATTTGGGAGTCCTCAATTATATCTGACACATTACATCCAGGCTGTGTCTATACTGGCATGAATTTCCGGAAATGCTTAAAACAGAATAGTTTTCGTTAAAAGTATTTCCGGAAAAAGAGCGTCTACACTGGCAGGCTGCTTTTCCGGAAAATCCATTTTTCCGGAAAATTGTCCATGGCCAATGTAGATGCTCTTTTCCGGAAAAGAGCCCCTATCATCATTTCCGCGATCAGTGCTTTTTTCCGGAAAAGACTACTGGGCTGTCTACACTGGCCCTTTTCTGGAACAGCGTTCCGGAATAAGGACTTATGCCCGAGCGGGAGCAGAATAGTTTTTCCGGAATAGCGGCTGATTTTGTACAGTTCAACGTCGTTGCTTTTCCGGAAATTCAAGGGCCGGTGTAGACAGCTCGCAGCTTATTCCGGAAAAGCGGCTGATTTTCTGGAATCAGTGGCCCAGTGTAGACACAGCCCCAGTGTTTAAAGGCAGAGCTGACTAGAATCAATTGAGAGTCCTTGTCTTGTCTCAGTGATCGCTTGAGCAAAAATCATTGATAAAATCTTGTATAGACTGACCTTGGACTTAACATGCAGGCAGTGTGTTGAAGGGCAGTGCAAGGAGGCAATGGTGGTGAGGTACCATATTACCTAGTGAAATCATTGGTGCTGAAATCACTAAGGACTGGAATTTGACCACAGAACTGACACTTTCTGAAAAAAGACTCCATTTTTGCTATTTAAAAAGTGAATTCATAAGAACATAAGAACATAAGAACGGCCGTACTGGGTCAGACCAAAGGTCCATCTAGCCCAGTATCCTGTCTGCTGACAGTGGCCAGCACCAGGTACCCCAGAAAGGGTGGACAGAAGACAATGATCAAGCAATTTGTAACAGAAAACTGCAACGCTATTTGGTAACTTTTTAAAAATTAAACTTTAAACTTTATTGAAAAAATTGGATTGTTTGCAATTGAAAATATTTGACCTACACATAAGGCAACTGATTTAATTTTGTGTAAAATTTTGCATAATAAAGGAAGGCATTTTAAAAAAAATGTTCAGTTATATAGGTATACATTTTGATCAGATCTACTTGATGTGATATTTGTGTGTGGTTGTGGTTTGGTGTGTGCGTGGGGTTTTTTTTGCTCAACAAAAAATCCTGGGAGGGGCGGCCTGCCAAAAGTGTTCGAATCGGGCCCCTCACTTCCTAAAGCCGGCCCTGAAAGGGACCCACCCTGGACGGCTATTTTTCTGGTTTTCCTGCTTGCTTGTCTACCTGAGGGAGAGCAAAGCATTTTCTCTTTTTGGTCTGGTTGCCCTGCTTCAGGACATCACAGCACTCTGCTATGGAGCTGGAGTTACCTCTGGGCACACTTCAGCTTTTGCAGCAAGTGATGCAGCAGTTTCTGTAGGCTGCCCCAGAAGCTGCAGGAACCCAAATCCCCAGCTCTTCTGGCACACCCTCCTCAGATATGTGTGGGCACAGCTCCTACAGCTAGATCCTGGCCGCCCTGCTCTGGACACTGTGCCCTGCTGCCTATGGTATCTGGACACCAATGCAGACTGGTGGGATCACATAGTTTTAGAGAGCTGGAGAGACCAGCAATGTCTCCAGACTATCAGAATGAAAAAGGACACCTTCCTGGAGCTCTGTGACTGGCTCACCCCTGTCTCCTTCTGCAGGTGGTCAGGGCAATCAACATCATCCTGCTACACAGAGTCATCCACTTTGGAGACGTGGACACCATAATCACCGGATTTGCCGACATGGGCTTCCCCAACTGTGGGGGGGCTATCAACAGGACCCATATTCCCATCCGTGCCCCAGAGCACTGGGCATCAATGTACATGCGCACTGGGAGGCCCTGAGGGAAAGCTTCTCCCCGGGGAACCAGTGACACTCTCCCCTGGGCCGCCCCACTGAGGGCTTCTGCTTCACTCCTCACTTCCAACCCTCCACTAACCCCTCCCTCCTTCCCTCCTTTTCTGATGAAAAAATAAAGGACACATTTGTTTTTGAAAAACTAAAACCTCGGTATTTTCTCTGTGGGATCAAAGAAACTGGGGAGAGACTGGAGAAAGAACCTGGGAGAAGGGAGGAGACAGGGTGAAAGAAGGGGACAGGGGTTGATGAGGACCTTGGAGGAGGGAGAAGGGAGCTGGAAAGAGGAGGAGGGGGGAGGAGAGGGTCAGGGCTGGGGCTGGGAGTGGCACCGGGCTCTGTGGATGGATGGGGTGGGGTGGGGTGGGGAGGGTGTTGAGGGAGAAGCAGGAGGGGGAGAGGGAGTGGGAGGAGAAGCTACAGCAGGAACAGGAGCAGAGGCTAGAGCAGGAAGAGGCATAATGCTCAGCACAAGGGAGTGCACATTCACGCACATGGGGCAGCCCTGCGCAAGCAGCTCCCGCCAGGTCTCCCGACGCAGCTGCAAGTCCTCCTGGACCCAGCTGTGGATGGTCTGCTCCAGGGTTTGTGCTGGAACTCATCCATAGGACAGTGGCACCTGCAGATGCCTTGGGTCCAGGAGGCTGTTCCGGGTAGTGTTGACCGCTCCCTCTCTTGCAACTGGTCTGGCTGTGGAGAATAAAGAGAGATGGTTGGTCATCCCAGGGGACACAGTGAGCTGTGAGCTGAGAGCAACAGTTCTCGTCTCTGTCGCAGGCAATGTGGTTGGGTGGGCTCATTGTGGGGGCACAGCTCATTGTGGGGGTATCAGACTGGCTCATTGAGGGGGCACAGTGAGTCAGGTGCAGCTGCAGGGTGGCTCAGGGCTGTCAGGCCTGCTGTGAGCCACAAACCCTTTCTGCAAAGGCTGCAGCTTTAAGGGCTCCAGAGGAGGGGGGGATAGAGTTTTTCTGAGTGTGGACAGAATGGCCAACAGGGCACCCTGGGAAGGGTTGGAGGCCTCCTATTTCGAAATAGCAGCTATTTCCTGTCTGCACAACCCCTATTCCAAAATATCTATTTCAGAATAGGCGTTATTCCTCATAGAATGAGGTTTACAGATGCTGGAATAAGCCGTCCACTATTTTGAAATTATTTTGAAATAGCGGAATTGCTGTGTAGATGCTCGCATAGTTATTTCAGAATAATGGCCGTTATTCTGAAATAACTTTGCTGTGTAGACACACCCCTATAATGCTTTAATGAAGACTCTCTAAGCCTGGGGTAGGCAAAATATGGCCTGTGGGCCACATCTGGCCCACCAAATTGCTGGATCCATCATGCCAACATCTTGCAACCCAGCGGGGACCTTGGGCAGGCTCCCTTCCTGCTGTACCCCTGCCACATACTGCTCAAAGCAACCAGGTATGGGGACTGTATGCATCTCTGTGAGCTGCACACCTTGGGAGGTGAGGGTGGGAGGGGGGAGTAACTGGCCAATGGGAGCTTCCTGGACTGTGCTTGTGGTGCAGGCAGTGGGTGGAGCCCCCGACCCCAAAGCTCCAGGAGGGACTTTCATCTTATGGCAAGAGATGGGAGTCTGGAACTAATTTCCAGGGAGAGCAGCCGGCAGCATGATTAATGCTGTTCGAGATTAATGCTGTTCGAGATCTTCATTTTTGAAGTAAAAAAAGCATAATTCAAAATAAAATTAACAAGAACTGTTATATTTTCCCTTTTACATAATTGAAAGATTTTTACCCTCTTTCAAAGAAAACACACACAAATGCTAAATAGTGGATCAAAAACATACTGTATCACTGGTTAAAAAGCATAGATAGAATTTCACTCAAAATTTAGAGGGTATATTGACAGCAATTCCAGTGAAGCTTACAGAAATCTTGTGGGCAGAAGTACCCGTGATTACTGATGGTTAGACATCTAACACATATTTCATAAAATGGCTTCTTTGAGTAGTGATACTGCAGTGTTTTGAAACTTAGGAACAGACACAATGCTGCCACCTACCGTTCTAAAAAAAAAACCATTGGTCTCCCTCTTGATGGGAGAATTGCAAGTTAAAAATGTCTAGCACAGACAGTGTGAGTCCCTTATTTACTGTCATAATTAAAGTTTGATTTCAACTGTGCTCTTTAACAAACATCCTGGGATAAATTCTACATCAGGACAGTCCCTTATCACATATCAACAAGTAAAATAAGCAACCTTCCTGTGTCTTATGTTGTTGCTTAGGGTGCATCTAGACTGCAGGTTTTTTTTTAAATGGCTGTTTTTCCAAAAAAACTTTACTTACATCCATACTGCTATTGTGTTCTTTTGAAAGAAAATTGAAAGAACGCAGGGGTTTTTCTGACATTGGTAAATCTTATTCTACAAGGAAGAACACTTTTTCTGAAAGAGCTCTTTTGAAAAAGGCATGTGTGGACACGGAAGAGGGAGATTTTTTTGAAAGAAGAGGCCTCCAGGAAAAAGCACAGGTGTCTGGTGGCCACTCCATCCATAGTAATCACAGCTTAATTGCAAGATAGCGTCCACTCAGTGTGGATGCTATCTTTTGAAAAAGCAGATTGCTTTTTCAATGTGCTTTGGCAGTGTGGACACTCTCTTTCGGAAGAACGGCTCCTACACAAGAGGGTTTTTTTGTGCAAGAAGGAGTTCTTTTTGCACAAGAAGGACAGCTCCTTCTTGCACAAAACCCCCTTCCGCAAAATGGCAGCTCACTAGATATGCAAATGAGGTGCGGTGATATTCATCCCTGTGCCTCATTTGCATATCGTCTTGCGCAACAATGCGCAGTATAGACATAGCTACACAGTAGTGTTATTTCGGAATGGTTTGTTATTCCAAAATAGCATAGTCCATGTCTATATTACAAGCAGTTATTTCAACATAATATTGAAATAATGTCAAGTTGAAGGACTTACTCCAACTCCTGTAATCCTAATTTTATGAGGTGTAAGGGAAGTTGGAGGAAGAGTGCACTATCTCAGACTTCCTGCTGTGTAGACAGTGCCAAAAGCCAAAATAAGCTATTACGAGTTAAGCTATGCAATTGACATAGCTCTAGTTGCGTAGCTTATTTTGGCTTTAGCTCTGCTGCGTTGATGTACCCTAAGGTGCTACTGGACCACTGTTGTTTTTTAAGTTTTTTAGTTACAAACTAACACAGCTACCCCTCTGAGACAGAAAGGTTGTGCTCCAATTGGTGCAATAGTACCTCCTCTTGGCCAGGCAAAGCATGGCACCTGAGCTCACTCAGCCTACTAGGGCAGTTAGTCTAATTCCTGATTACCTGAAAACCTTCTCTGTTCTAAAGTCCATCAAGGGGTTGGTGAAGAAATTCAGACCCATCCACTTCACTAGGTTTTAGCTCAAGGCCCTCAAGCTAGATAAGGATTCATTGACTCTAGCTATGACCCGAGCTTCTTCCTACCTTCCTGTAGGGAGAAGCGGTGGATGTCATATACCTAGACTTTAGTAAGGCATTTCATACGGTCTCGCATGATATTCTTATTGATAAACTAGGCAAATATAACTTAGATAGGGCCACGATAAGGTGGGTGCATAATTGGCTGGATAACCGTAGTCAGAGTTGTTGTTAACGGTGCTAAATCCTGCTGGAAAGGGATAACAAGTGGAGTTCCGCAAGGGTCTGTTTTGGGACCCGTACTGTTCAATATCTTCATCAATGATGTAGATATTGGGATAGAGAGTACGCTTATTAAGTTTGCAGATGATACCAAACTGGGTGGGGTTGCAACTTCTTTGGAGGATAGGGACATAATTCAAAATGACCTTAGCAAGTTAGAGAAATGGTCAGAGGTAAACAGGATGAGGTTTAATAAAGAGAAATGCAAAGTGCTCCACTTAGGAAGGAACAATCAGTTCCATACATACAAGATGGGAAGCGACTGTCTAGGAAGGAGCATGGCCGAAAGGGATCTAGGGGTCATAGTGGACCACAAGTTGAATATGAGTCAACAGTGTGATGCTGTTGCAAAAAAAGCAAATATGATTCTAGGTTGTATCAACAGGTGTGTTGTAAGCAAAACTCATGAAGTCATTCTGCCGCTCTACTCTGCACTAGTTAGGCCTCAGCTGGAGTACTGTGTCCAGTTCTGGGCGCCACATTTCAAGAAAGATGTGGAGAAATTGGAAAGGGTACAGAGAAGAGCGACAAGAATGATTAAAGGCCTAGAGAACATGACCTATGAAGCCAGGCTTCATGAACTGGGCTTGTTTAGTTTGGAAAAAAGAAGATTAAGGGGGGACATGATAGCGGTTTTCAAATATCTAAAAGGGTGTCACAAGGAGGAAGGAGAAAATTTGTTCCTCTTGGTTTCTGAGGACAGGACAAGGAGTAATGGGCTTAAAGTGCAGCAGGGGAGGTTTAGATTGGACATTAGGAAAAAATTCCTAACTGTCAGGGTGGTCAAATATTGGAATAAATTGCCAAGGGAGGTGGTGGAATCTCCCTCTCTGGAGATATTTAAGAACAGGTTAGATAGACATCTGTCAGGGATGGTGTAGACGGAGCTTGGTCCTGCCTTGAGGGTGGGGGGCTGGACTCGATGACCTCTCGAGGTCCCTTCCAGTCCTATTATTCTATGATTCTATGATTCTGGAGGCTCTTCAGCATGTTGTTCTCATCATCTCACTTTAGTGTATTGTCTCTGAGATGGCTCTTCAACAGCTTGCTGGCAGATATTCCCTTTTCTAGCCTGCTCACTTCTCTGGCTGTTGCCCCACCCTGATGCTTCCTAGCTCTTTTACCTTTCTAGCTCCTGTAAGGCTATCAGTCACCTAGGACTGACAGTGGCCCTTTGGTTGTTGGACCAGCATGAGGTACATATACGGCATGACTGGGTGACACTAATAACTTTTCATGTTAGTCAACCCTATAATAAAAGTATCTAACAATATGACTCTTTCAATCTAGCTAAAACTACTAGACCTTACTCATCTCTCCAAATGTTAATAGAAAAACCCAAGCAAGCAAGCAAACAAACCGCTGAAGTCCCTGAAGTCTAGACACCACAGAATATGTGATGGAGTGGTAATAAGATATACGACTATGAAATTTAGACTTGTAGAATGGAGGTGGAGGGTGGAAGCTAACATACCAATCATGCTGGTTAAATTGCTGAACTTTGGGTACGTAGCAGTAAAAGGTAGACTGCATCAAGTGCTCTTATATGTTTATGAATGTTATTTTTTCACTCCCCAGTACAACAGCTTGAAGGAGTATATGACCACTAACAGATTAACAAAAGACTCTCCTTTAGTTCAGGTGACAGAAGCAAATGTTTTAGGTGTAGAAATGATTAATTATACTCTCATGCTCTGCATGAGTTCACTAAGTAACTATGGTATCTCTGCATTTCACATTCAAAGGTTGAAATGGTCCAAAGCTGATTAATGGATTTAGTTACATAGGTCTCAATTTCTATGGGAATTTTGTGGCCAAATCCCCTAGCTGACTTTGAAAATTTCAACAAGGATCATTACAGTGGCCTGCCACTTTTTATAGCATGAGGTGTTGGTGTCTGGGGACAACAGAAAGGTTGAATACTAAACTGCACAAGACAAGCTGCAGGAAAACCCAAGGAATGCCCAGAAATAACAATATTGGAATATTAACTTAAGTTGGTTGGATCAATATAGTTTAA